GGTATTCATATGTGTAAGTGCTTCCCTGAAGGAGGGAACGGAGACGTCACATCCCGTCGCCATGGCTGCTGTACCACCGCTGAGCGGCCGGGTCACCGGCTCAGATCCTCAGCGAAATCCTGAGTATGCATTGCACCTGCTGCCTAATTATACTCGCGCTGCGATCAGCGGCAGCTGGATGCAATCATCGCATGCCAATGTGCAATGGCTCGTTTAGTTTACACTCAAAGTGGATTGGTCTATTTAAACGAGATCCCAATTCGTCGGTCATTACCAACGTCACGTTCAGGGAACGAGGGTTACATACGTAACCGAGACGGTTTTGCCTGCAGTGTCTCCCCTTAATTGATTGAATGATTTATAATTTACAGTTTTTAATTCATTAATTTGTATTTATTTGTGTTTATTTTCATTTTTAAGTAATTTATTTACTTTTGACTTTATATATTTATTCATATTGTTGTTTTTGTCTTTTATTTCACTTATTTATTTAGTTTTGATTTACTGTTTTAATTCATTTTTTTTCATTTACTTTATTTATTCATACTTTTATTTTTGATGTATTGTATTCATTTGTTTGTTTGTTTGTTTGCTTTTTAGCCTGATTCTTTTTATATAAGGCAAAGCAATGTTCCTACCTCAAATAAATAGACAATTATTATTGATTATGCATTGAAACATAAATAGTTTGATCTTATTGTGTAAACTGAAGAAGTACTTCTTTCTAAAGAAAGGAAAAAAAAAACATTGAGTGTCCCCGGCATCTGACCATGGTGACAATAAGTTTCCCTTTTACGGTGAAGGTTTCACTTTTTTAGTTTTTTTTTGTTTTCTTCCTGCAAGCCACTGCGACGTATTTAGACACTTTTAAATCAATCCTCATGAAAGAGTTAATTTGATTTATTTATTTAGTAATTCTTAGTCTTTTTTAAGTGGTTTTGTTTGGGTTGTTCCTGTCTTGTTATGGGGCAAGCCTCTAAAATAGACTTTAAAAAGAGGAAGGAAAAAACTGTAAAACAGCAGAAGAACATTTTCAGCTTGCATTTTCAGTTCACTCTGCTGGAATCTATTGGCTGAAACCACAACACGGTAAGAGTTACACTCATTCAGTAATAAATACTGTAACTAAAATAATAATAATAATAATAATAATAATAATAATAATAATAATAATAAAGTGAGAGACAAGTGAAAGTCATTTTCTTTTCATAACCTCTGAACATCTACTGCTTATGTGTACTTGAGTTTCAAAAGTGTAAAACTACTAAAAGTGCAGATTTTAAATGAGTTTTATTATTGTTTACAATGTCTATTGTACAGTGTACTAATGTTGTTATTATGTTTATGAAACTAAAGATGAGGTAGTGTACTGTTGTATTATATTTTCCTGCAGTGATGTCATTGCTCATGGCTCCTCTACCTCTGATGTTTCTGCTCATGATTCCAGGTGAGCCTCTCTTTAAGAAAACGTTAAGAAATTAAGATGTATTGAACTTTTATGGTCCTGTTTGATTTAAAGACTAGTGTTTTCATAATGTTTTTTTCACAAATGTTGTGTTTCAGGAGTTTATGGTCAGTATTGGGGTGTGCGTTACGGCTATTCACACATCTGTGCACTAAAGGACTCATCAGTGATAATGAGATGCACTTATACATACCCTACTGGATATCGGATCAGGAAAGTGTTCTGGACCAAAACACTTGTTAAAAATGCTGATAATGAGTTTCCAGATCTGTCTAAGGACCCTGAATACAGTCAGAGGCTTCAGTATCTGGGAGATAAACAGCAGAACTGCACCATCAGACTGAGTCATGTGACACAGAAGGACGAACACAAGTACTATTTAAGATTCATCACTGATAAACCTGTTGGAAAATGGCTGGGCGAAGCAGGAGTGACTCTTACTGTGACAGGTGACTTTAATGAAGTTTCACTCTTCTTCTGTGCATTATGTTGAATAATAATCAGTGTATGACAGCAGCACTAGATATAATGTGTGTGTTGTGTTCAGATCTTCAGGTGGAGGCTCCTGAGAGAGTGACAGAGGGAGATTCAGTGCGTCTGACATGTAAAAGCAGCTGCGCTCTGACTGACAGAGCAACATTCATCTGGTACAGAAACTCACAGCCATTAACTGAGAGAAGAGACGGAAACAATCAACTCCTGCTGCAGTCAGTCAGAAGAGAGGATGCAGGCAGATACAGCTGTGCTCTACATGGACACAGTTACATCTCTCCTGCTGCTCTACATGAACACACTTACATCTCTCCTGCTGTTTATCTCAGTGTCATGTGTGAGTATATTCTATAAAGGTTTCATTCAAACTCACTTGACCCTCCTTTTCTTTAAAAAAGCATAAATCAGATTTACAGTCAGTACGTTTACATGGACAACAGTATTCCGATATTAACACGATTAAGACAATACCCTTGATTAAGAATCTACCATGTAAACAGAGATTTTTGTTTACCTTAATCCGGCTAAAGTCATACTCGAAGTAAACACAAATCAAATTAAGACGTGGAGTATTCCTATTTTAGTCGCATTATCAAAGTGCAGTATTGACATGTACACACCTTAATCACACTGTTACCGTCGTGCAGGACTTTTCGCCGCATTTTGCGACAGGATACACACACGGCAGTGTTCAACCATTTGACAGCAAACAAAAGAGCAAAACTGTATATGTTACCATGATGAAGACGAACTGTATGTTGATACGTGAAATTCTGGAGGGAACGTCAGATGGCGTCGCATGGGGACGTAATGACGTGTGCCATTAATCGATCTATGTACTATAACAGGGGTGGCAAACTCCGGTCCTGGAGAGCCACAGTCCTGCCGACATAAGCTTCAACCCATAAACGTTAAAAATGCTCTCTATTTCAATAGTACAGCCACTAGACGTGAACAATATTCATGTTAACATGATTTTAGGATGACGATTTCTTTTTAAAATGTATATAAAATTTTACAATTTTGTTCCATGCCATGACAACGCAAAGGTGCGGTCACCTTTATCATTGCTCGGCGAAATTTTGTGGGTGAAATCCACTCATATCAATAGGAATCAGCACTTGACTGAGCGTTTTCAATTCATTCCTATGGAAGAGGAGCTTCAGGCTCGTGTGAGAGCAGTTGACAGCATCAAAAACAGGGGTGGCATTCACTTATGAGAGTGTATGGCATAGGTATTCAAAACAGAGGAAATAAACAGCTTATGATGATGCTCATTAAAGATAATCCAAATAGTTTTAGATGGACAGATCTGAACATTGGTAGGTTCCTAATAAGGACAATTCATAGTAGTTGTGGGAGGTTTCTGATGAGTGCTGCTGTATATAAATGGCTACTTAATGCTGTTTTCTGTTAGTTTTAATTAATAATGCATTGAGGAGTCTAATATTTATTCTGCACTCTAAAAAATGCTGGGTTAAATACAACCCAGTGCTGGGTAAAATATGTACAAACCCAGCAATTGGGTTGTTTTGACCCAGCAGTTGGGTTACTACCCAGAAGGTTGGATTAAACATTTAACCCAACCACTGGGTCAAAACAACCCAATTGCTGGGTTTGTCCATATTTCACCCAGCACTGGGTTGTATTTAACCCAGCATTTTTTAGAGTGTATATTTTGATTCATAGTCTGTTAACTCTATGTGCTATCAACCCATTTTAAAAACCTGTTTGTTGGCGGTTGTCATGAAAGAGTCTGGCAGTGGTTTTGGACTGCCTGTCACAGTATGAATGGCAGATAGTTTGGTGAAGTGTGGTGATGTAAACAGCTTTGAAAAAAACAAACAAAAAAAAACATCAAATTTAAATAGTTCTGTTGCTGGAAACTTTGGAAAGCATTTTTTTTCTGACTTTCTATTGCTTTTGTATTGTGTTATCTGTAAGTCTCTGCATGTCTGTGGACTCTGTGTATTCTTTTAGTATAGTGGATTTTTGTGCACATTTGGTTGGTTGGGTTGTTGTATGAGCACAGGGAATTATGCCATACCCTAGGCTTTTGTGAAACACTGCCACTGGTCAAAAAGGTTGAGCAATGTTCGACTTCATGCAAATATCAAGCATTAACCACATGCCAGCCAGACACTGCAAGGTTCAGATAGTGACGCCTGTCTTGAGTGTGCAGATACTCTTAAAACGGATGTGATAAAAACTACACAACCTGTGTTATATCTTAACACACCTGTGTGTCAAGTTAAGGACAACACATTGTGTGTTAATTTCAACTCCAGTGTGATATTATTTTTAACAAAGGTTGATATTCTTCAAATATTTAACACACTAATGTGTCATAAATCACACAATTTAGCACATCTATGACACAAATTGTGTGATTTATGACAGTGTTAAATAAAAAGAGAGGTGTTAAAAACAACACAACCGGTGTTATATCATGTGTAACGGAAGAGGTCTGACGCAACAGGTTAGTATATCAATCAAGTTTATTTGGTCACAGAGAGTACGGGTGTAGGATCCAGGTGATGACACGGTGAGTGTATAGTTCGTAGGACAGTTTAAAGGATATGATGAGTGGAATGATCAGAGTCCTTTCCTTTGCAGGAGCTGGAATGCGAACGGGAAGAGCAACCCGTTTGTCTAAAAAAAGTTATTATTTAGAACAGAGATTTTTGTTTTTTGATGGGGATGGTGATGTTTTGTGAAATGAAACCAACATCTAAACCTGTTAATTCTCATTAAGAACTTGTGTATGACAGAAATAAAGTCAAACGGGTTAGTAATAAGTGAAGCTGATAAAGCTGTTTGTGGAGTTGTTTAATGCTGCTCTGCTGAGATCTTGACATATTTCATGTCTTTTATTTCAGTTGATTTCCTCTAAGGCTGTGACTAAGTCAGTTGTAGTTGTGTTTCTGTTTGTCTCTCTCTTTTTTCTGTTTCTCTTTCCTTCAGTAATTCTGCTTGTTAACATTCTCATTAATTTCAGCTCTGCTTCAGTGTTATGTTAACACTCTGTATTGTGGGACCAAATACACTCTGAGCAGTGTTAATCCCTGAAGGTCCTCCAAACAACGTCCCCCAACCCTTTAAAAACTCCACATCATGACCATCTCGGGAAACGTTCTGCGAACGTCATTGACACCGGCGGGACGCTCTGAGAATGCTCTGGGAACATTACATTTCTAGTGGGGAAATCCATATACCTGATATGAGTGCATCCACGTCATCCACCAGTGAAAAAAGAGACGCAAATTTGGTTAACAGCTTGTGGAGTGACGCAGGCAGCAATGTGATTGGATGATAGTTAACACATATTGTGTTGTTTCTCTCTCTCTCTCTTTCTTTTTACACATGATCAACTTAAAATTACACAAAATGTGTTAAAATGGCCATAACACACAAAAAATGTGTTATTAATTAACACATCCTTTTTGAGAGTGTAGTGCTGAGTTTATGCTGCAGTGCAGAAATCACATTGTTTAAAGTGTCAAATGTGTAAAAGTTAAATGTTATACTGGCTGGGTTTTCAAAAAGTGTATTAAACTGACTGCATATCTTTACTTTGGGCATTCGGAAACAAATCTTACCCAACTGTAATTGTGTGTATCTGTGAGGGGTCATTCCTATGTTCTCTAGATCACAGCAAAATCCCCAGTGTTATATTAACATGGCTCAGTGTTTCTATGAGTCCACACTCAAGGGATAGTTCACCCAAAACTGAAAATGACCCCATGATTTACTCACCCTCAAGCCATCCTAGGTGTATATGACTTTCTTCATTCAGACGAATACGATCAGAGTTATATTTAAAAAAATGTCCTGGCTCTTCAAAGCTTTATAATCGCAGTGAATGGGTGATATTCAATAGTCCAATAGTGTTGTGAATTTTACTCATTTGTTCTTTTTTTCTTTGTACTTCATCTCCCACAAATCCTAGTAAAATACATGTCCATATATGCTGCACTACATTACCCATATTCCCCTGGTTAAGGTCTATAAATAGACCGCACTTCCTTCCTTTGTTTCCTTTTGCATTGGTGAGGTGTGGATGCTTGAATGGACACCCAACCATGACCTTTGAGTCCTTTTCCTTAGGATGTGTCAATGACTTAAGACCATCCTGTTCATCCTGTCCATCCTGTTAGTCCTGTTCTTCTCTCAACATCTGACAATTTACATCTTGTGAATCTGTTCTGTGTGAATTTGTGAACTTCATGACATGAAAATTACTTAAGAGCAAAGGACTGGTGTTTTTCCAGTTTTTCGATCAGACACGCCACCAAGTTTCTACAACTTTGATGAACTTTGGATACTTTTAACATCTTATATCCAATAAATAGAAGTCCAATAAACTGTGCCAATCCATCATAAAAAGTGCTCCACACGACTTATTTTCTTTTCTTTTCTTTTCTTTTCTTTTCTTTTCTTTCCTTTTCGTGTGTGCGGTAACCAGTTTTGTTGCATGACACTTATTACCACACACACATGAAAACAAAAACTGTAAGTGTTGTGCCATGATGGGGGGGGAACTAATTTTCATGTTGCTAATTGTTTGAATGTGAAGCAATGCCAGACCCAGATCATATGTGCAAAATGCATCAGACTATTTGAGTTAGGAAAGTACAGCTGGTCACATTTATATATCTAATGTTCATGCTTTGACACTGACTTCATACTGTAGAACTGCATGAACAGTACTATACTTCTTCCGTAGATACTCCAGAGAATCCTGTGATCTTCATCAGTCCATCTGGTGAAATAATGGAGGGAGATTCAGTGACTCTGAGCTGCAGCAGTGATTCAAACCCACCTGCAGAAATCAGCTGGTTTAAAAGAGGAATGTTTGTAGGATCTGGAAGAATCTACAGCATCTCAAAGATCAGCTCTGATCACAGTGGAGAATACAAGTGCAAGTCCACCAATAAATATGGAGAGAAATACTCTAATGCTGTGACTTTAAACATCATGTGTGAGTTAAAGATGTTCAATAACTGTGACATTTAATCTTCTGTGATGTCAAATGTATTGTGATTGTTAGTGATATCAATTGTTTTTGTTTTGTTTTAGATCCTCCCAGGAACGTCTCAGTGTCTATAAATGGATCTGGTGAAGTAGAAGAAGATTCAGTGACTCTGATCTGCAACAGTGATTCAAACCCTCCTGCTCTGAACTTCAGCTGGTTTAAGGAGAATCAAAGCTCAGCTGTTGGATCTGGACAGAGTTTCAGTGCACTACAGAGTGGACGCTTCTACTGTGAGGCTCACAATCAACACGGATCTCAGAGATCAGCAGTTTTATCAGTGACCGGTGACATTTTTATTTTATAAAGGGTTCAAGAAAGTTGTGTAGCTTTGAGAGCCAATGTTAACTCATATTCTTCATCTTTCAGTGCCTCATGGTCTGCGTTGGCATGTCTGGTTGGGAATCACAGTGGCATTTGTAGGATTATTCATCATTATCATCATCATCGTGTTCATAATGTAAGTTTGATTCTCAATTACAGTGCAGGTGGAATTGCCCCATGTGATTATTAGTAATGAATCTTTAAAACACAACTTACACTTTGTAATGTCTATAAAACCAGGAGAAAACGAAGAGGTGCAAAAGCGGAAGTCGTCACAGTAAAACAGGTGAATCATCCAGACATGACTGGAAATATTTGTCATGTACTTTTAGCTAGGTTTCATATGTATAATAATTAATTTTCTTTCATTTCAGGATGATCTGTACTCTAACGTAAACGAGAGGGATGCTCACGTGTCTGAATCAGCCGTTTGTGATGATGCTCCGTATGCCAGCGTTTCATACAGCAAACCCAGAAGAGACAGAAACGAAGACGCTGAGGAGATCCAGTACGTGACCGTCCAAAACCCACCTGCAGAAATCAGCTGGTTTAAAAGAGGAATGTTTGTAGGATCTGGAAGAATCTACAGCATCTCAAAGATCAGCTCTGATCACAGTGGAGAATACAAGTGCAAGTCCACCAATAAATATGGAGAGAAATACTCTAATGCTGTGACTTTAAACATCATGTGTGAGTTAAAGATGTTCAATAACTGTGACATTTAATCTTCTGTGATGTCAAATGTATTGTGATTGTTAGTGATATCAATTGTTTTTGTTTTGTTTTAGATCCTCCCAGGAACGTCTCAGTGTCTATAAATGGATCTGGTGAAGTAGAAGAAGATTCAGTGACTCTGATCTGCAACAGTGATTCAAACCCTCCTGCTCTGAACTTCAGCTGGTTTAAGGAGAATCAAAGCTCAGCTGTTGGATCTGGACAGAGTTTCAGTGCACTACAGAGTGGACGCTTCTACTGTGAGGCTCACAATCAACACGGATCTCAGAGATCAGCAGTTTTATCAGTGACCGGTGACATTTTTATTTTATAAAGGGTTCAAGAAAGTTGTGTAGCTTTGAGAGCCAATGTTAACTCATATTCTTCATCTTTCAGTGCATCATGGTCTGGGTTGGCCTGTCTGGTTGGGAATCACAGTCACATGTGTAGGATTATTCATCATTATCATCATCATCGTGTTCATAATGTAAGTTTGATTCTCAATTACAGTGCAGGTGGAATTGCCCCATGTGATTATTAGTAATGAATCTTTAAAACACAACTTACACTTTGTAATGTCTATAAAACCAGGAGAAAACGAAGAGGTGCAAAAGCGGAAGTCGTCACAGTAAAACAGGTGAATCATCCAGACATGACTGGAAATATTTGTCATGTACTTTTAGCTAGGTTTCATATGTATAATAATTAATTTTCTTTCATTTCAGGATGATCTGTACTCTAACGTAAACGAGAGGGATGCTCACGTGTCTGAATCAGCCGTTTGTGATGATGCTCCGTATGCCAGCGTTTCATACAGCAAACCCAGAAGAGACAGAAACGAAGACGCTGAGGAGATCCAGTACGTGACCGTCCAACATCACAAAACCAAACCGACGCAGAGAGCAGAGGAGAACGAAAACCAGTACGGCAATCTCAGAATTCACCAGCCTGCTGCTGCCGTGAGGTGCTCAAATACAAATTCTGTCATCATCTGCTCTGTTATGATAATGATGAAAGGAGAAATGTATAGTTCTTTAAACTTGGACCTAAATAATGCTAAACCAGAAACGTGACATACAAGATGGCTGTATTTTTTTTTAATGACTTCATCATCATGCATAACATCATTGTGTTTCTGTTTTTTCTTGATTTTATTTTGTTTTAGGCGATCAGATGTGAAGACTGTGGAAGAGGACTCTGCGATCTACAGCAGCATCAAATGAATGACAGACCATCATGAAGCCTGTGTTTAGACATCAATCTGGACTGCTGGGAAGAGCAAAAGCCACAAATATTTGCTGAATATGAACAAATATTAATTAATGTCCTTGAAAGTTTGGCTGTTTAATTTAGCATGCAGTTGAACTAAATGTATGGCATATTATTTATTAAATCAGGTGAACAGATGAGCAGGAAACAAAAAAGCCAAAACTAAAAAAAGATGTTGTGATGTGGCGTGGTAATGTGTTTGTTAAAGATTTTGACTTTTGATTGCAAACGTTTCTGTGACCAAATAAATGAACGTATCAATTTAATCGAGCTCAAGCTCCAGTTGTTCATGATTTCAGTTATTTAAATCTTTATTTACTTCTATTGTAGCCCAGGCAGTCAATTCCAGATCATTGCAGAGCTAAACTCAAAGCAAAATACCTAGTTGTAATCATTGCCTTGTGAGCTGCACTAAACGGGGTTAAACGCAAAAAAACAAAACAAAAAAAATAAAATAACGTGCCATATGTGATTGCTGGGTTACTATTAATATCCTGAACCGCCAGAGGTCGCTGTATACCTAAAAGTGCCAGCGGGTAAATTTTACCCAGGCATATGACAGCTGTTTTTGAATGGCTAAAGAACATATTATTTCACTGTATTATGCTACTGTCTTCACAAATAAGTGTCTAGAGTCATGAAATGTTTATGTCTAGTCATCAACTATATTTTTATCCTGTTGTTTTATGTTCAAGACTTTTTAATGCAGGCTACACTAATCCATAATGGTCAGTAGCTAAAAAAAGCTAAAACATTTTTTTTTTTTTAATTCTGCACTGACAACGGAAATTAGAAGGTACTTAGCCTATATACTTGGGTGGTTTAATATTATAATACAATGTCATTAATCAACATATTAAGATAACCTATGTTATTTAAATTACTAAAATAGCCTATAGACAATAATAATTCACCACACTGCATAGGATGATGCGATGACAAATTCAAGCGCACAGCTTCACCAAAATATTTATTAATTTGTTTAGTTATAGCATTTATAATTTGAATAAGAGAACAACACCATTAAACTTTGGGTAATCAAAAAAATGGTTTTATTCATTACATCATATAGATCTATTTTTTTTTTTTCTTCAGGAAACGGCCAGACTAGTATAGCAACACAGTAGCGAACAATAAACGATATGGCAAGACAAAAATTAAATAATTAAACCAAAGTTTGACCAATTAGAGTAACCTGAGGCTAAAACATGTAAATATAATATCTGGATCACTGTCAGATGAGCCGTCAGATGCTAAGCCGACCCGAAACTGATAACCGCTAAATCAGTGAGTGAATGGCGTTGCCTAGAAATGTACAAAGTTAAAACGTAAGCGGCAAGAAAATGACTGGCGCTTATAGGTATAAATGCCCCGTTTTTTGATCTGGTTTTATCTAAATAATTTTTAACAACATTGGATTGTAAATTACATAATTTTAGTAAAAGTCAATGACTGGGAGACTTTAATGTTTTATTTTAAATCCGTTATGTACATTTGAAAAACAGCCACGAGTAAAATTTATCCCGTGGCAGTTCTAGTGTTAAATAATTATATAAACAAGAAAATGGAAGAAACAGTGGATACAAATAGAGTTTGATCAGTTGTTTAATTGACTGTCAATGATTATTTGTAGTTTTAAGAAAAGTTCCAAATCAGTTTGACTAAAACAACAGTTTAAGCTATGGAGCCCCTAAAGGGACATAAATATGAAAAAATATATGTCAATGTTTTTGCTTTCGCTAACACATTTTTGAATTCCCTGAGAAACTTTTGTGAACAAGTGCAAAAGCACTAAAAAAAATGTCTGTTATGTACATTTGAAAAACAGCCACGAGTAAAATTTATCCCGTGGCAGTTCTAGTGTTAAATAATTATATAAACAGGAAAATGGAAGAAACAGTGGATACAAATAGAGTTTGATCAGTTGTTTAATTGACTGTCAATGATTATTTGTAGTTTTAAGAAAAGTTCCAAATCAGTTTGACTAAAACAACAGTTTAAGCTATGGAGCCCCTAAAGGGACATAAATATGAAAAAATATATGTCAATGTTTTTGCTTTCGCTAACACATTTTTGAATTCCCTGAGAAACTTTTGTGAACAAGTGCAAAAGCACTAAAAAAAATAAAAATAATATATATATATACTCATACTTTTTCCCATCACATGTCCATTTAGAGGCAACATTACAATCAATGTTGATTATTTAGATCAGTGATGAATGTTGAGGCACTGTCAGTGGGCTCTGATTCATCGCAGAGGATGGGATTCTGGTTGGGTTAATTTCCTGTCCCACCAACCTCCTATCAATGCTTTTTCCGCCAGTAAACTGAAGGCAAAAAGGAAATCTCTCAATGATATTCAAAAATAACTTGTCTGTCTGTGGTCAAAATGATGACATCCAGTCTTACGCAATACATGTTTCAAAATTCTTCAGAAAATGTTTCCAGGAAGAAACGGTAGCCAGTTTAAATTTGAAAGCAAACAGTGTTAAGCATGTGAAATCAGTTTAACATCTGCTGGAGATCAGAATCACCTGAAAACGGTAAGAGTTCATGTATGAATATTAATATGTGAATATAGTCCGATTAATAGTGTTGTAGAAACCACTGACTTAATACAATATATTCTCACTGAAAAGTGATTTATAGAGATGTTTTTGAAGCTAAAGTTTGCTTTCAAAATGATGATTGTGTATGTTATGTCATTGTTTTTGTAGTGATGCCAGTCAGAATGACTCCTCTTCCTCTGGTGTTTCTGCTCATTCATGGTGAGTCACTGGATAATTAACAAACGTTACATAGTCGCTTAATAAACCTGTTAAATAAACCTCTTCTTTGTGAATTTATTTAGCTAAGGTTATGCAAATCATTGGACTTTTTTTGTTCAATATTGGACTCAATCTTTTTTTTTTTGTATTAATCAAAAATACAAAATCATGTAAACTTTAGTCAAAGCTCTCTCTCACACAAATTAAAATGTACCATGTTAAAATTAATGAACAAGTTTGTGACAGCATAAAGATTTTGGATAACATGAGGAACTTATGAGAGAATCGTTTTGGGTGAACAATCCCTTTAATATGTGTTTCAGGAGTTTATGGTCAGTATTGGGGTATGCGTTACGGCTCTTCACACATCTGTGCACTAAAGGACTCATCAGTGATAATGAGCTGCACTTATACATACCCTACTGGATATAAGAGCAGGAAAGTGTTCTGGACCAAAACAAAAGTAGATAATGTAGAGCCTTCAGATCTGTCTGAGGATCCTGAATACAGTCAGACGATTCAGTATCTGGGAGATAAACAGAAGAACTGCACCATCAGACTGAGTCATGTGACACAGAAGGATGAACGCATGTACTATTTCAGATTCACAGCTATTAAACCTGATAAGAAATGGCTTGGTCATCCAGGAGTGACTCTTACTGTCACAGGTGAGATGACCATGTGGGAAAACTTTATAAACCACTTTAATAAATACGGTTTACAAAGTGGTTTCAATTCTGGCACTCGTAGACATGAAGAATCAGCATGTGAATCTCAGCAATGGTGACAAAATATTTTGATAATTTTGATATGATTTTTGAAACAACATGAAACAAGGCAGTAAAAAGTCACAACAAAAATCAAAGCAAATAGTAAGAATAAAAGAAAATCCTGAGACAATGCAGCTGCATAATTTATTCATGTTGCAATGCATGCTGGGAGCCATGGGTGAGTTATGATTGGTGCACCCAGAATGCAATGCAACATGAATCTGTCTGATGATCGTCACCATTGTTGAGATTCATATGCTGATTCTTGATGTCTGCGTGTCTAAACAATACAGATGTTCTAAACTGGTGTGCAAAATGTTTTTAAAGTTCTTCATATTGTTTAAAATGTTAAGGGTCAAGAGACCAACTAAAGACTTATCTCCACAACGGTGACTTTATTATTTTCAATAAACATTAACATCTAAACCTCTGTTAATTCTTAATAAGACATTTTTAGATGCATGACAAAAAAGTCAAACTGGTTAGTAATGCATGAAGCTGGTGATGCTGTTTGTGGAGATAATTAATCATCTTCTGCTGAGATCTTGAGAGATTTAATGTTGTCTTTTATTTCAGTTGATTTCATCTAAGGGTATGGCTGAAGTCAGTTATACTTCTTGTGTTTCTCTTTTCTTCAGTGATTCTGCTTGTTAACAGCAGCTGTTCATCACTAATGCTCAATCAGCACTTAATTAATCACATAATTATCTCATTAACTTTAACACTGCTTCAGTGTTACTTTAACACTCTTGTAGAGTGGGACCATATATGCTCCAAGCAGTGTTCATTTAACACTCAGGATTTTACTGTGTACATGTGCAAAAGAGTTTGCCTTCAAAAGTGAGGTAATCTATCAAATAATCAATGTGTCTTTCACATAGTCTGTCCATCCCAGACCTGCTGTTCATCAGTCGGGCTCTTCTGAATATGAGAATCTGTCAGTAAGTGTGAGATCCACGGGTCTTCTCAATATAATCAACAAAGAAAGAAACTACTCAATAGATATTAAACAGTCTTTTCTTTCTGTTACATTGTTATATGAGTCGTTTCATTGACATAATTTAGTTTTTTCTTTTTAATTGTGAAATAAATGTTTGCAGACCTTTGTAAATCTGTTTCGCTTGTCTTATTTCTGTTGTAGCCACACAGCAAGACGCCGCAGTAAGATGAAGCACAAGGTAAACTTCACTCAACTTTTGTCACGCTTCGCTAAACACCCACATCACAACTCCTGATGAAAATGAACGTGCCTCCTTAGCCTCCCATGCCGGACACCCGGGTTTGAGTCCCGCTCAGAGGGGATACATGTAGACTATATAAAAACAAATATATTCATAAAAGATTGCACTTGTATATTTAGTTCTAGATATTCTGTGAGTGTATTTCAGGATATTGTGGACTTTGTCAACACACAACCGAAAATGTAATCTGTTATTAAGAAAAAGCACACAAGAAACTCATTTTGAGAAATCATGATGAAGAAAACCATGACACAAAACCTGAGGCCTATAAACCTCAAAATGTTTATACTTTCTTCTCTGAGGTGAATATTTCTGTTGTGAGAGAGTCAGTGAAAGAATAATGTAAGCTATTCCAAACTAAGTTACACTTGTGTTAATAAAAATGATTTAACCTACAGCTGATTTAATAATTTAAAACTAAATACATTAAATCATTTTGTTGTTTATAATTATTTCTTTATCATTTACCAGCAGGCCCAATTCCATAATCAAAAGGGTGCTTCAGACATTAGTTAGGGTGCTCTAGCATTTATGCACACTTAGTTGGATATATCATATTTTTGTCACATCCACTGTAATTTTTGAACAAGAATCCCACATTTATATGTGGAAATCACTTTTGAAACGTTGCGCCTTATACTGTTTGTGGCCGCCTGTCCTCTTAGCAGCATGAAACCCAATATATCAGTGAATACTTAACTGTAACCCTGCAATGATATACTCTTAATTAATCACAAGGTATTTATCTATCATTCAGCAACTGAAAAACAGCTTAATATGGGCCCACCACACACACACACACACACACACACACATGTTGGTTTCTATGGTTTACGGGGACTCTCCCGTAATGGTTTTTAAACTGTAAAAACTGTATTTTCTTTTGCCCTAAACCAACCCTACACCTAAACTTAGCTCTCACAGGAAACTGCACATTTTTTAGATAAAAAAAAAACAAAACACCATTGAGTATGTTTTTTAAGCCTTTTGAATTACGGGGACACAGTAAGTGTCCTCATAAACCACCTTCACATTGTAATACCTATGTCATTCCCATGTCATTATACAAATTTGTGTCCTCATAAACCACATAAACATGCACACACACACACACACATACAGGCTTGAAATGTCGCTGGAGGGCGTTGAGGACCGCACAACAAAATCCCCGGTGTTAAATTAACACTGCTGGGTATCTATGGTCATGTCCACACATACACAGGTATTTTTATAAAAGGTTTTCCTTCCGTTTAAAAAAAAAATCTCCGTCCACATGAAAACGCAAACGCATGCTATGAAGCACTGTCAAGAGCATGCCAAACCAACAGGTGACAATATAATCTCAACCGTAAAGCCATGTTGGCCAATCAGAAGCCTGAAAAAGTTTCCAGTAGGCGGAGATAACAGCACAGGCTCCGACGACACAAGTGCACCCCTGATCTATGCACTTCTTTTCCCAGCTCTGCTCTCACTCCCTTGACTGACATCAGCCCTGGCCAATCACAGTTGCCATACCTGACACGAGACGGGATTAAGTCATTTTTTAACTAGTGATAACGTTAAATCAAACACAATTTACTGACACGAACATGTCTGAACAGATACCCTTTTTTAACAATAGAAACACTAATGTCACAAGGCAATAAATAAATATTAATAAAGGATAATACTACTAATAAAACCATGTAGAAATTATCCCGGGGTTACATCGATATATCAACTTTGCTGCATAATCAAATTCTCAATGTAAACATATTATGCACAGATTCTGTACATCAATAAATTTGATTCACTGACCAGTTACTGACAAATCAAAATTTGGTCAGATCATTTTTTGCCTACTCCAGTTGTGTGGGCAGGAGTAAAAAAAAAGAGGAAGGGACATAATCTGTTTGCACAGTCTTTTTAAAATACACAGTGTTGATGTGAAATTCATCAGTTTAACGCCTGCTGGAGATCAGACTCACCAGAACACGGTAATAGTTACCTGAATAATATGTGAATAGCTATCATTTGATTAATACTGTTGTGGAGACCAATGAGAAATATCCTCAATCCAAGTTCAACAAACAGATGGTGCTTTATGTAGATATTTTTTAAGCTAAAGATTGTGCTTTTCTCATGATGTGTGTGTTATATTGTAGTGATGCCAGTCACAATGGCTCCTCCTCTTTCTCTGGTGTTTCTGCTCATGATTTATGGTAAGTCTCTCTTATTGGAGAATCAAGAAACAGTATGTTGTTGCAAATGTAATTAACTTCTGTGTGACTCTCTTTAACTGGGGGTCTGCAAGTCATTGGACCCCCTGTTGAATGTTTCACTTTTTTTTCTGCATTAAAAACAGTGTATCACCACTAGCGGCTCCTGACCATAAATTTAGGTAGGGCAGATGCTGGGTCTTAGTGCTAGTTTAAGATAAACAGTTTATATTGTAATCACTGAACACATGCGGACACACTTAGCGCAGAGATCTGGTGTCATTGCGTAATACAGCCTGAGAGTGGCCCTCTATTGTTGATTGACAGGGTTTATGTACATGAGACATGCATAGAATGCTAGTAGAATTGACCATATGCAAGATTACTTCCTGGTTTTAGATAAGCCAGCTTAGTCATTTCCCGTCAACTGTACTGTGCTGTAAGGGGAGCGCCCTTTGCTCGGTTTCTCTAAATAATCCATTCACAATTCGAAGAAAAGTTTTGTTTGTCTAAAGAGGACCAAGGCGGATCTCAGCAGAAGATGATTAATAATCTCCACAAACAGCATCACCAGCTTCACTCATTACTAACCACTTTGACTTTTTTTGTCATGCGTCTAAAAATGTCTTAAGAATTAACAGAGGTTTAGATGTTAATGTTTATTGAAAATAATAAAGTCACCGTTGTGGAGATAACTCTTTAATTGGGCTCTTGACCCTTGACTTTTTAGCATTAGTTTTTCTCTGGTTGCTGTAACTGTGTTTATGAAACACATTTGTTATGGCAAGAAAAACCAAAAGAAAATGTGATCAGACGCAACCGGGAGGGGCTCACCTCGTCGCCGGCGGAAGTCCTCAATCAGAGTCTGGTCCAAAATATCCCGAGCCAGAATCCAACTCCTCTCCTCAGGACCGTAGCCCTCCCTGTCCACCAGATACTGAAAACCCGACCACGGCGTCTAACGTCCAAAAGCTTTCTCACAGTGTAAACTGGAGTACCATCCACTAGACGGGGGGGGGGACCTAAACACAGGCTTGACCCTGGACACATGAAAGACAAGGTGAAGCTGACCAAGAGTGGGAGTAAGCTTGAGCTGCACTGCCACTGGACTCAGGACCTTGGTGATGCGATATGTCCCAATAAACCTGGGTGCCAGCTATTCAACCCACGATAGCTGCTGACTCCAGGAGCTCGGACTCTGTGATGCTAGGCAGTGGAGAGCTCGCTCGAGATCCTGGTTGGCTCGCTCGGCCTGCCCGTTGGTCTGAGGGTGAAAACCTGAAGACAGACTCGTAGAGGCCCCGATCTGTCTACAGAACTCTTTCCAAAACCGGGAGACGAATTGTGGTCCTTTGTCGGAGACCACATCAACCGGAAGACCATGGATCCGGAAGACGTGGTCCACGACCACCTGAGCTGTCTCCTTGGCGGAGGGGAGTTTGGGTAAGGGGATAAAATG